CCCCCCCCAAAAAAAAAAAAAAAAAAAAAAAAAAAAGGAATCTATGATTCAAGGAACAGTGACAACTGATTTACCTGTCCGGTCCCTCATAGTTTACACAGCCTCGACATACCGGCTCATTGTAATCACAGCACATAGCCCATGGCCATCTGGGTAGATCGCATAGATAACAGTGCTGACGAACACCAAGAATTTTTGATGGATTAGCTGCTGCACTGGTGTTGTTAGTATTACCAACAGCTGCAGCTGCAGCGTTGTTCGTGTGTGTTGCAACACCGTTCATGGTTGCCAACATAACTTTAGAAGAATAAGAAGAATAAGGAGAAGAAGAAAAAGAAGTAGAAGAAGAAGAAGGAATAAAATAGAACAATAATAATATTCACAATAAATAACCACAAATCACACTGACGATTTCAAAATCTGAAATATTTCACCATTAACCATGAAAAAAAAATAATTTTTTCATTCATGCATTCATATTCGCAGACTTATTACTCTTTCTTGCCTTTGTTACTATTACCATTATTACTATTATTATTTATTATTTTTTATTATTCCAACTATTACTGTTGCTGATGCTAGAGCTATCAGCGTTATAATTTAGTATACTCTCAAAATGTGTACAAGAAAAGTGATTGTTAATTTTTCCTATTCCTCACCCTTCAAATTGTCTCATTTCGTCAGACAATTACCGTTGAAAAAATTTATGTTAAGTTCAAGAACAGTAAGCAAAAATTCATTTCAAGTAACGCGCTACCAAATATATCATACTCATAATTCATCTAAACAACGACAACAATGACAAAAAAAAACGAGGAAAGCTTTTGAATATGTAACTAACAATATAAACAAACAAAAGTAAAAAACAGCAATAACAAAAATAGTATAAACAAATAAAGCAATGAAAAAAAATGCTTTTTTCCTCTTCGAAAAATATATGACGTGGTAAAATGACTATTCAAACAAGCTTTAAAACTTGACGATGATGCAACGATGAGGTGGGGATTATAGCGGGGGAATGCGGTAAAGGGGCAGGGAGAGGAAAAAGGGAAGTGGGGGGAGAAATGCGGGGACGACGAGAGATTTTAACGACAACTGAATGAGAGAAAAGAGGAGAAAATGATCAGTTGAAAAACTTGAATAAATTTAGGACGGTGTTCCTGCAAATTTGAGAGTAAACTACGCCAAGAAAAAGACGATGATGAAGAAGAAGAAGAAGAAGAAAACATAATCGAAAAAAAAAGACGGCGAAGACGAAGAATAACTCTCCTAGAAAGCAAAAACTAAGATCGTTGACAACGACAACGACAACGACAATGACGATGACAATGTTGATAGTGACAATGACGAATAGTGTGGTCAGTCTACGGAACAGTATAAGTAAGTTCGAGTGCTCGGAACGAATAAAATAGCTTATTTTGACTCATAATCATCAGTAAACTAAGCGCTTTATAGAAGAAGATAGGTAAGGAAAAAATGGAAAGAACAGAAGAAAATGAAAAAAAAAATACATACAAATTAGAAATTTCAAGAAACTATGCATCTAGCGGAAAAAAAAATTATTTCTAATAAATTTCGACGACAACAATGTAGAACAGAAATTATAATAAAGCAGATAAGAAAATAGAAAGTTTCATTAATTTAAACATTTCGCCTTTCGTTTGCTTCTTATTTTTTTACAACTGTCAGCAATACATTCAAGTTAGAGATAGCTTAAGTAATTTTTGGACTAATCTTTAAAGTTAAGTTTTTGACAATGTTGTTGATGTTGTCTTGGTTGTTTTTTTTTTGTTTTTTTTTTTTGCAGTTTTTGTTGGACCAAACATTCAAAAGTCAAAAAACAGGGTGATTTTGGTCACTGAACAAAACGGAAATGACAAACCCAAAATTCTTGACAATCCTTTCGTCACAAAGTTAGTGTTATAATCGCCATCGTCATCGCTACCATAAACAACATCAGCTTCACCGTAAACATGCAGTACAAGATAGAAAATATTAGTTTATATATGAAAGGAAAACAATACTTTATTATTTATATTGTTATTGTTGTTGTTATTGTTATTGTTGTTGTTATTATTATTGTTATTGTTATTAGATTCTTAGTATTACGATTATTATTATTATTACTATTATTAGTATTATTATTATTATTATTATTATTATTATTATTATTATATTATTATTATTATTATTATTATTATTATTATTATTGTTATTACCAGTATTAGTGCTGTTATTGTTATTATTATTATCATTATTATTATTACTTTTATTATCATTACTATTATTATTACCATTACTATTATTATTACCATTACAATTATCACCGTCACCATCGTCATAGATAGGCGAGCTTTGAAAGACACAAAAAGGTAGCATGCACATTATTAAACATCAATTTGAACACCGGTACCGGCAAAAGAAACCTAGATATTGCATAGCTTGATCAACTTTCTTCGTCACCAATTCGTCAATACATCCCATTTATTTTCTCTTATAAATTCTTTTTCTTTTTCTTCTTTTTCTTTTTCTTTTTTTTCTTCTTCTTCTTCTTCTTTTTGTTGTTGTTCTTCTTTT